ACAAGAGTCAACGAATTGTTTTCCTCCTGAATTTCTTCTGCCTCGAGACTGCATTTCAACTTCATTTTCTTTTCGGACAAGTTTCAGCCTTAGGCAGCTAATTCTTAGGTTAATTCTAATCCAGCTGATGGAAAAACAGGATTACAAGCACTAGCCTTACCAACAGAACCGGCAACCTATCTGTTACTGTTCTATGACTGCAGACTACTAATCCCACACCACTCACCGCTCAGGAGCGTGCAGACACGATTGCAGAGCGGGCGGCCAGCAAAGAACAACACAGACAGAACAAACTTACGCACACTCACCTTTTGTTCTGCTCTGCTTTTTCAGACTAGGTGACCCAGTCCTCTTTCTCTGAGGCGGTGACAAATCTGGGTCAGAATTGTACCTCTTCTTCCGGGGAGGGGATAGATCCGGAGTAGACTGACGCTTCTGGCGTGATGAGGACTTGTCAGAGACACCGTGCCTGAGCTGAGATTGGTCTCTTTGGACTCCCCCCGACTGTGACTTGTCTGTGGTTTTGCAGCCCTTTTTCCCCATCGCTGAACTGACTCTCTTTGGTGAGAGGTCAGGGGAGTCATGGCGCTGTCGCCTGGGAGGTGACAGGTCTGGGGAGTCGTGGCGCTTCCGTCTTGGAGGAGAGAGGTCTGGGGAGTCGTGGCGCTGTCGCCTGGGAGGTGACAGGTCTGGGGAGTCGTGGCGCTTCCGTCTTGGGGGAGGGGGCTTGCGTCTGGTGGGTGAAAGGTCTGGGGAGTCGTGGTGCTGCCGCCTTGGGGGTGAGAGGTCTGGGGAGTCGTGGCGCTTCCGTCTTGGGGGAGAGAGGTCTGGGGAGTCGTGGCGCTTCCGTCTTGGGGGAGAGAGGTCTGGGGAGTCGTGGCGCTTCCGTCTTGGGGGAGAGAGGTCTGGGGAGTCGTGGCGCTTCCGTCTTGGGGGAGAGAGGTCTGGGGAGTCGTGGCGCTGTCGCCTGGGAGGTGACGGGTCAGGGGAGTCATGGCGCTTCCTTCTTGGCGGGGAGAGGTCTGGGGAGTCGTGGCGCTGTCGCTTGGGAGGCAAGAGGTTGAGGGAATTGTTTCTCTCTCGCCTGGGAGGGGACAGATCTGGGGAGTCATGGCGCTGTTGCCTTGGAAGCGATTTGTCTGGAGAGTCGTGCCGCAGTCTCCTTGGCGACGAGCTGTCTGGGGAGTCGTGTCGCTGTCGCCTGGGATGGGAGGAGAAGGTGACAACGAGAGTTACATTTTTTGTTTGGTTTGCTGTCTCCAGACTGGAAACAAAAACCAAGTGGGACCCCTAAAGATAGCAGCAGGAGTCAAGGATGAAAACAACTTTCTGAACTCAAATTCATACTTGACTCTGTACCTCCGTGTAGTGACCTGCATCACTAAGCCATAGACTTCCCAAAGTAGATCTCAGAAAGCCTCCGAGGCAACCAGGATCACAGGAAAGCTGTAATTTTAAAGTATCCAGGGACCCTTGCAACACTCGGACTACAAAACCCATTTTGTGCCCTTGTACAATCATGTTCTGAGGAAACACCCCATCATGTGCTCTCAGAGAGCCTGCACGCTGTGCAACTATGGAACATCCCACCAGACGCTTTCAGAAAAGAGGCATGGTGTAATACCGCCATCCTCACCACATTCCAGATTTATAGCAAGTCACCACTCAGATTTCCCTGACGCTGTCAGAGGAATGCGGGACAGCTGTTAGCCTATCATACAGAAACCCAGAGAGCATGCTGTCTGCCAGTTCCACCCCCCCAGCATAGGCTATTCAACAGTGGAAAAGGAATGCCTGCGTATGCCGCTTCTCACATTTCACAGCAAACCGCTTAGAAACTGCGGAACAAGACAGACGACACCAGCAAACAAGAGTTATCCGACAGAAGGATTTCTAGTTGGAGCCCCGTACCTCATGTTAGATCGGGCAGTTACTGAAATATCCGAACTTTGTGAGTCTTCATTCTGGTCTAAAGAAAAACAATCAGAAAGTCACCACCGTTAGGGCTTTCCACAGTTCATGATCTCTTCAGCATTTCAAGAATTTCAGTTTTTTTTAGCTAGTATTATTTTTAACTGCTCTAAACCACAACACTGCAAGTTAAACATTCAGGAAGAGAAGGTGGAAAGGCCTGGTCTCACCTCCTAAAAGTTTCCATTTAGCATTTGTTCGGAACTCCTCCATGAGCTTCACTTCATCGGGACGCTCATCAATAAATTCTGCCACCTGAAGATAAAACACCAGAGTAAACAACACATGAAAGAAAGAAAGAAAGAAAGAAAGAGAGGATTTCTACCTTTTAACACAAATAGTTCAGTATAACTGCACTGACAGGCAACTAATGCATAACCATCAGTCAGCTGCCTTCCTACAGGCAGATCTCGAAAGAACTTTTCAAAGCCGTCGCCTTCAACATCTATCTCTTTGCTGCCCAGGTTTCCAGCCCGTGCCACAAGCCACGTGCAGCGGTCAGCAGGCGCTACCAATCACATTTACTTTCTGCCTTGTCTCAAGCGGCTGTTTGGAAACGGTGAGAACCACCGCACTGGCCCTACCACATGCTTTTAGCACTTGTGAAAACGTAAATACATAAAGAGGCGGCTACTTTTATCTGCAGGGAGCTAATCGGACCAGGCAAACTCACCCACCCCTGCTGCAGACCCTACCAAAAGCCGAGGCAGCGAGAAAGGGGTTGGCAAGCGCTTCCCCAAGACAGACACGTGGCGGACCGTAAGAGGAATGGGTTTAGTTCGTGAAACCCCATCTTACATAATTCTCCACTCACCACAGGCATGTCCCCTTCGTCCTCCTCTTCCTCCTTCTCCTGGACAGCGGCAATGCTATTC